GGCAATCCTACTTCCGTAGTGATGCTGCCTCGGAAACCCAAGGAGGGGTTGCTATGAGTCGGGGCCGACTCGATGGCAAACAACAACATGTGCTAGTTACTGCAGTAGGCCACAGATAAGCAAAATAATTCTGTATTTAGCTTCTTAGGAGACCCTCATTGACACTACCAAAATCTCAGGCTGACATCCTTTCTAATATGTTCTTCATTTTTCTTCTTGAATATTCTCAGATCATCTCACATATTCTCCCTAGCAGCTTCTGTCAGTCATTGACTCAGCCCTTCAGATATCTTCTATCAGCATGATGTTGTTAGCTTCACAGAGTTGGTTCCAACTCCCAGAGACCCTATAAACAACAGAACAAAACAATGCCCAGTCCTGTGCCATCCTCACAATTGTTGCTGTGCAAACAATTGTTGTAGCCCTGTGTTGTTAGTCCATCTTATTGAGGACCTTCCTCTTTTTTGCTGTCTGCTTTACCAAGTAAAGATGCCATACGAACCCTAAATTATGCAAAATTGAGATGGGAAACCATATGTCAAAAGTTAAATTGATAGTACCTGTGTAAAAATGACATGGCAGGGGTGTCTGACCTCCTCTGACTTCATGAGGGGGAGAGAAAAACACTATCAGCATCAGCCCAAGGCTGATTCCTCTGAAGTAGAGGTAAGACTTACCTCTTCCCTCCAACTTTTTTTTTTTAAACTAATTCTGTCATCAGCCATCCCTCCCATAGCACTTTTTATTTCTCTGCTGTATTTGATAAATTTGTTGCAGTGGCCACACAGAACTCACAGACAGTACTCACGGTTGTGGGGTTTATTAGGGAAGCATCAGAGTACGATTGAGGATTAGGAAAGATTCAGTATATAGTTCTTGGATCAAGACAGCTTCTTAGGTATGCCCACAGCAGGCCTCTGCCTGGCTCTTGGCGCTTTGGCCCCTTGAGCCCCTTGAACTGGCCCAGCCTATCCTCTGTTCAGACAAGTGTTACAAAGCTCTTTAGCTCCACCAGTAAATACCCAGAGACACCCCACTCTCCCGATTAGCCTCAATCTTAAGATACTCAGCATTCTCACTCTGTGGGCTGGAAGTCCACTGGGCCATCTCCTGCTGGTGTCCTACTTCTACTGCTACAAGTTCTCTGCCTCACTTGCCACCATTTCTTGCCATCTCTGGTATGACAGCTCTTTGTCTCCTGGGTCTAGGAAGTATTCGGTGCAGGGATTCCAGGTCCAAAGACACCCTCTACTCCTAACTCTTCTTTCTGGGTAGTAGTAAGGGCCCCCTTTTTTGCCACAAAGATGGTTCATTTTAAGCCTTGTGAGGTGGCAAAACTGACCAATCCCTCCTTAGAGTTCCATATACCTTATTTGCATAGTCCCAACCCCCACATGTGCCTTATTTGCATCACTACCAAGCTGTCCAATCCTCTTGGTGGGCCACAAGCACCTTATTTGCATAGTCCTACCTAATCATTTGGGCACTCTACTTCTGTAGTGATACTGCCTCAGAAACCCAAGGAGGGGTCACTATTAGTCGAAATCGACTTGACAGCAGTGAGTTTTTTACTTACCTAGTCATTTGGTAGGGAGCTCTGGTAGTATAGTGCCTAAGGCACTTGACTGCTAACCAGAAGGCTGGCTGTTCAAACCCACCAGCCACTCCTCAGAAGGAAGGTTGGGCAATCTACTTCCATAGTGATACCAACTCGGAAACCCAAGGAGGGGTCACTATGAGTCCAGTCTGACTCAATGGCACATAACAACAGCAACAACAACAGTCATTTGGTAGCAATCAAAAGACCACGGCAAGAAGGGCTATATAAAAATGATCCAATGTGAACTGAATAAGGTTAAAGATTGGTATCCAGCAGTAAAGAAAAGAATTAGTTAATGATACCAAGTTCCATAATTGGCTCTGCTTTTTGTGACCTTAGAAGTGTCTCTCAGCTTCTTTAGGTCTCAACATTCCAAGGTGTAACATGTTGAAGTTAGACTAGATAAAAGCTAAAATCCCTTTCAGTTCTATCGTTTTGAAAATCTATAACTCTTAAGTTTTATTGTGTAGGTTAATCACTTCTTAATTTAAAAATAAAGTAAAAGATTCAGTGAAATTAAATATTGACTGATCCTGGATTCCTAAGGAAGGCAAAAAAAAAGTTTGAATTTAAGTACATTGTAATTTATTAGCAGCACATAACGTCCTAAATGAATGCAGCCTGTCTTATCAGTTGCTTATCCTTGCTAACAGTTTTACCAACAGGACTGTAGCCAATTAATATGCTGATTAGTCTTTCTTTCTACCAGTTATCACAACTCAGGGCCTTAACAATTGTAATTCTTGGCCTGTTGCACTCTGACCCCTTTGATTTTTGGAGTATTCAAGCCCTGGTGATACGGTGGTTAAAATGCTTGGCTCCTAACCCAGAGGTCAGTGGTTTGAACCCATGAGCTGATCCACAGAAGAAAGATACAACTTTCATAAAGATTACAGCCTTGGAAATCCATTGAGGCAGTTCTACCCTTTTGGTTTTTTGGTTTACCTTGTCTTCAGCAGATGAGATCTCTTCTCAATTTCACAATCTCTTTTAGTCTCTCCTTATAGAATGGGCCACAAATCTTAAACACAACTGTTTCTTGTACTAGGAAATATATGTAATTTTTGTGATTTGAGATAACTACTGTTAGTGTTGGTACGGTGCCCTACACCAGATATTTTGTATATATTCTCTCATTTATTTTTCATAGCAGCCTTTAGAAGTACAG